AAACGTTGCTGGAAGACAGCTAAAGAAACCAACCACCCAGTTTCCAAGGAAAAAGAGAGAAGAAGTTCCGGGTGCGTGCGGTTTTACCTCCAAAACTGACCAGCTGAATTCATCTGGGGATTTTAAAACTGTAGGATGTATGTATAACCAGCAGGATAAACAGCTAGCAGGTGTTTATAATTTTTGCCTTAAACAAAAATATTTCTCAGTTTAAGTATTCAAATCAACCTTAACAGTGTCCGGGTCGTGTCACTCACAAAATAACCCTAGGTGTGGAAATTATATCAAAGCTTCCAAGGCACTTTGCAAACAATCCAAATGCACTGAAGAACAGACATTCACATTGACAGTTGAATTCTTCAAGTCTGAAATCAATATGTGTGTTATTTTCTATGAAAGGTGTGCAAAATGCACAGTAATAGCACTTGATTCATGTAATCAGAATAATATTATAATTAAAGGCTCTATTGTATGATTTCTGCTCGTAGGAACTGATCTAATTTCTGCGGGAAATGCTCTTTTTGTATCAGTGGGCTGTATAACAGACCCACAGTACTTCAGATCCATGATGATCAAAAGAACAGTTTTCAGGAGGGCAACAGGCATCAGCGTCATTCTTTCACAGTCCAAATAACAGTGAAAGAAAATGCAAAGGATAACTAACTGATCTCACAGGAATATGGCACAATAGGAGGGATTAATTACTAAAACCAATGCTCTCTTTGTCACCTACTTCTCTGTACCCTAATCTGCATGCATGCAGCTTCAAAACCCACAGCGATTATCCTGTTTCATTAGTGCTTGCTAACACTGTTTGGGTACCTGTGTTGAGGATAGCAGACTCTGAACTAAAGTCAGTATTCCACCCTGTTATCACCACATGACTGAAACACACAACACACTTGTTAAACCTCATTACAAACAGGATGCTCTGGGACCTCGCTCTTTATTTTTAGAAACACATGCACATAACCCTACTGAGTGTGTTTTCACTCTGGCCATGTCAAGCTATCACTGACTAACCATCAGCACTGCTTCAATTTGACTGATGGAATCTGAAATTGAATATGATCTAAAAAAAAAATAATTAAAAAAAAAAACTCATCCAGATTTTTTTTTTCTAAAACAAAGATAAATTCAACATCAATCAAAAAGGGAAGCTAAAAAGTCTTGGTGTAATGTTAATTTTGGTTTGGTTTGTTTTGGTTTGTTTTTTAACAGCATATCAATGCTAGTTAGATCAGAAAGAAAAAAAAAAAGAAACATTCTACCTAACAGCCCTCAAGTCTTCCAGGAGAAGGCCACGTGTGTTGCAGCCTCCACTGTGCCAGCTCCGCTTAAGGCTGAGCTTCAAAGTCTGGGTTGGCCACCAAAGAGGCACAGCAACTCAGTTCATCCTTCAGCACACACACAGCTTTCAGTGTACAGAGGCAGCCTCAATCATCTCAAAGGGAGTGCTCCCCGTAAACAGTGCCATGCAGGAATGTTTGCAGAACTGAAGCCTTGACGTGGTGGTGTGTTTGAACAGCACCACAGTGGTGTCTGTTTTCTGTGTCAGATGTATGTATGTGCTGTCATCCCCTCCCAAGGAATGGAAGCGTAAAAATTTTAAAGAAATAATTGCAGTTGGGAATTATGCTCTTTAAATACTTTGCTATAATATTAATAATTTAATGTGCTTTTCACTGAAATATTTGCCTGGCTTGTGATGATTCTTTTGGATGAAGTGGTTCTTCCTTCCTCTCTCCCAGATACTATATTTCTATCTGGGTTTATGGCTCATTAGCTTTTTCAGATATACTTCACATAGGTATATAAAATTACACTACAGTACTTTTGGCTTATTTAGTTTTGAGCTGCTGAGAAAGAGCATTTTAAAGTCTTTGACACTTGTTACAAAATTAAATCACGAGTTACCTAAAGACAGACATACATTTGCCTCTTGACTCTTGACTGTGCTGTTAATTAAATGTAACAAAACCCTAAATGTCTATTACATTACCCGATTAATCTCATCAGTAGATATTTATCACTGGAAAGAAAGGTTACATTGAAACCTTTAACCATCATTACTTTACTCAGTTTTACACTCTTTTTTACTCTATGTATTTCTTTTTCTGACAACATGAACATTTACCATCTCTCCCCATAGTAACCTGTCCCACTGTGGGGAAAACACTGAGCTCTTCAATGACTTCCATCACAACAGCAAAATATTTCATTTTTTTCAATAATTCATAACTTGTTAAACTGTTCAGCAGTAGCATTAAGTAAAACATTGGTAACTCACCACTTCATGTCCCCTAATATGGTTATGTTGATTGTCTAATTCATCAGTAAATTTTTTTTTCTTGTGAAAATTTTTATATTAATATAATACATAAAAATGCAACATGAAATCCACTGGGAGAAAAAAAAGTACAGAAAGTGCCAGCATTTTTATGGCTGAAAATAATTCCATCATAGCAGACCAATCAGAATACAGCTACTGTTTACCATAATCCTACACCCATTTTTAAGCATTACACACTGCCCATTTTAAAAAGGAGTAATATGTGAAAAAATGGGGACAGCAGTGAAGTCTCAGATTTGTCATAAATTGTACATAGGAATTTTGTGCCTCTTCAGAAGATTCTAATGTGAGTTATCAAACTGCCCAGTAGGTACAATTAGCCCTATCCCATGGCTAATCTTATGCTTTGAATGTGGATTAATGAGAAAAGAGTAACCCACGCACATTTACACACAGAAATGACAAAAGTTTCGCTGGTCAAAAAAAAAAAAAAAATCAAATTTTCATCTCATTCAGCAAAGGGCATATGGAATTTTCTGCAAGGCATATGGCATTAGTTGATCATGGTATGAGTCCACCAGACAGTCAGTATAGCCACGAGGTATCCAAGGAATGTTTCCCTTCAGTGGGCATTGTCTGTGTATTGATTTGATGGTCTGGATGGATAAAAGCTTTGGTAGCAAATAATGTTTGAGGATTTGGGAACTGCACTTTTATTCTTATCTGTATTAATGCTGCAGCTGCTGAGGAAAATGTTGAGACACTTAATAAACAAGCAAATTAGGAACTAAACAGGACCGGTTTATTTTCATTTACTCGTTGATCCCTTATTTTGGTATTTATTTTCAACCTTTGCTTTTACATTCAGACCACTGCTCTGTGACTCTCATGCCTGAGAGCATGAAGCCAAAGTTATCACCCATTTTTTTAAATAGGAGCAATAATCTAGGTTCCATACATTTTAATGACATTAGCAAACACCTAAAAGAAAGTTGTTTGGCATAAATGATTTATTTTGAAAATTCTGACACGCACTAAATACACCTTCAGGTATTTGACACCAACTGAACTGATTAAAATATCTGTTATGCTGTCTGTGTTAGATATGGGTTAAGTGTTAGTCCATTTCTATATAGCTTTAATTCTCTTTTTAATTCAAGGATATCAGCTTCCTCTAACATATGATAGGTCAACCACTGGAAAAATTAAGAAATTGAATACTGTGTTTGTTCTCATTCATAATGATCACTTCAGGTAAAACAAACAGCAGCAGTGAATTCTCACTTATCCTAAGCAAAATTTAAAGTCAAACAGTTGAGGCCCCCGAGATAAGGTGAAAATGCCAAAGGACCTTCTGCTAACCAAAGTATTTCTGTGCGAAAGAACATCAGAGTCTCAACACCACTATACCCAGCACCAGTGGGTTATTTTTATAGAGGCACTTGAAGAGTAACAGAGCAGCAGTTTGTGGTTTGAAAGGTAGCACTGACTCCTTTGTAGTTCCAGTAAATTTCAGAGCAGTATAAAAGACAGCACAATTTCAGTAGTGCTCCGAATGGGTCAACTTCCTCAACCTAGCACCACTTGCAAAATCTTCCATCACCACTAGCAGAAAGAAATGAAAACTGCTTCCTAGTCCTGCAACAGTTAAATATGCACTCTGCTTCTGATAACGAGACTGGAGGAGAAGCAGTGAGAGTTAAGTAACAAGGGTGTCACTCATTTTTAGAGCATCCTGAAATAAAGTCACACTGTGACTCTTACACCAAAAATAGGATGAGATTAAAAATAGACCTGTAATACTGATAGTCTGTTACAAAACAGTTTTTAACACTTAATACAAAAGCCTCTTGGCAAATAAAACATGGCAACTGAAGAACAAATCCAGGAAAACAAAGTTATTTTTATACTTTCTGCACTGAAACTTTATGCTGAGAGGTGTAGCCACAATCTCACCTAACTACAAAAACGTTGCACACACCCTTCTTTTGAAGGCTCTAATTTAACAGGTGGTTTCAAAATACTTTCAAAGCATATGGAAGTATTACCCTGTAAACCTAAGAACCTCTGCTCTTGACATGCTGTATCAATGAACTGAAAAGAGCAATAACATTTAAGGTGGCTGAATCCTCATTATGTAAAACAAGCTGCATTTTCCTGCTCTACCCCCTACAGTATTTCTATTTGTGGAACACAATAAGAATTGTGCTCTCTGACTTACTGCTCTAAGATTTCAAATATCACTGCAGCTTAGAAACACACCTGCCCTGAGAGGTATTTTCAAACTGAAAAATCATGCATGATTAACAGTTTTTCTCACATCAAGGGCTCCTTCTTTCCTCCTGTATGTTGCACCAGACATATTGAAAGCCTACGTATCCAAGATATATACAGTATGCTAGATAACACTGAAAAACCTGAATTCAGAAGAAGGAAAAAAAAAACCCCAAACCAAAAAGTAAGAAAATCAGCTTTTAGCTTAGGAACAGTATTTTCACACAGCTGTAGAACGTTATTTGCAGGTTTGCTCTAATGAACCATATTAACACAGCTTCCCAACCCTGCCTTCCTGCATTTACATTCCACGTATTATGCACCAAAAAAGCAATATACAGATAGAGATCCTTTCAGCCTGACTAGCCTGACAGCAAAACCAGCAGAGAATTTTTCATTGATTAAAACAGAGAATGGAAGAAAACAGACCAACCTTCACAATGTACGTCACACCAGGTCCCAGGATCTTCTCACTCGAGTGCAGCCATCCTCGAGAGGGTTTATTGACAAAGCTGCTACTTTGATTCCAATCTTCACCTCCCAGGTGCGTTTCCTCTGACCGTGCTTTTTTCCCCATGCTCATCTTGCTCACGTCCTGCTGAGAACACGAAGTGGCAGAGACAAGGTTACATGTGTTGCCTGAAGCCCCTGCTGCTGAACTAGAAGCACTCGAGCTTCCCTGCAACTTGGAGACAGCAAGCTCCTTTACTGCAGAGGAGAGGTTTTTGATACCCAAAAGGCTGCCTGTGTTAGAGAGTTTCAAGTGGGACACTTTATGGATGAGGGTACACAGGGTGGTGGGTCCATCTTCTTGGTCCTTGCGGAGAACCTCTGGCGGGACCAGGTACGAAGGTGAAGCCGAAGTCGTAGCAACTGCTGAGACCTTGCTGTTCATGGACAAATTGTGAATAAGATCATCAACTGATGTCACGGAATCATTCCTGAAGCGGTTATACTTGGTACGTTGAAGCATGCCCTTCTATCTGCTCTCCTGCATATGTTCTGGCAAATCTGGTGCCAACGCAGGAGATGCCTGCACTAACATAGCAGGCGATTCATAACGACACGGACGGACGACAAGATTTTGGGGGGGAAAAAAAAAAAATCAGAGAGTATAAGGAAAAGCAAACAAACAAACAAACAAAAAAAAGATGTATATTTTAAAGCGATTTCTTTTGGTTCCCTGTTAAGGCTGGGAGAAGTAACAGTTTTCTGTGACTGAGATCCCAGTCCTGCTTAGAGCTGCCAACTCGCTCACAGCAAAAGCATGACTCACACAAATGAGAAGGACCCTTTTCAACAAAAGGCTGTGAACACTGCAAATCACTTCCTGTAGCCAAAAAAAAAAAAAAAAAAAAAAGAGAGAGAGAAGGAAAAAAAAAAAACCACATCCACCCACTTACAGCACACTAGCACCAATCAATTCTCAAATTTCCTTTTCCTATCTTCTCAAACAGATATTTCCTTTCAACCTTTAATTCCTATCCCCTCCCACCACCCTTTTAGTACCAAAGGCAATTACCTTCAAAACTGAATTAATAGCCTTTATGAAACATCACACTTTATTCTTCTGTTAAAATTCTTCCACCTCACATATTTGTGAATCTATAAAGAAATCACAATTAGATAGCAAATACTTGGATAATATTTACACACATATATCCCCTTTCTCCTGTCCCTGCAGCAAAACACAGGTACCTTAAAGGTTTTCAGAATAGATGACAGAACTAAGGAATATAGACATTTTCTTCCACAAAAGCTGTCTAACAGTGCCTTTTTGTCAATGCTGCCCCTCACAGAAACTGTTATATCCAAATTTTGACAGAGAAAGAAATCCTTCTCCCTGTTACTCCACAAGAACATTCTATTTTAATTCAGGAATTACATAAGTACCTATGTGTGAAGAAAAGTATTTTTCTGATGTCTGACAACAGGCTTAACAGATGTTTTTTCATTCACCACTGATATTCACTCCCAAGAAAGACATGAAGAAGATCTTCAATTCACTGGAATGTTTAGTTTAATTCTGAAAAACTTAAAAACCTGAAATAATATTAAAAAGTCCCGGTAGCAGCAAACTGACATCCTGCAGTGAAAAACAAAACAAAAAAAAAATGGGCTTTATTTAGCACGTTAGTCACAAACACTTGATCTGAGAAGCAGCAAAACATGCAGAAAACAGGTATTTAATGTCTCCTACTCTTTTTTTTTTTTAAAAAAAAAAAAGACAAAATATGTACAGCATTGTGACACACAATGCCCATCACAAGCCATATGGCTTTTTCTTATAAATCAATCTGCTTTGCAAAACATCTTTTGGATGTAGGACAATACACTGCATTATAAACAAATTCAGACCAGAAAAGTTGCATAGTGCAAAGCTATTTCTTAAATACATGACTAACTGCAGCACAACTTAAAGGAAAAAATCCTATGGAATTCCTTCCTTCTCCCATTACTAAAGGCTGCAGTACACAAAGTGTAAATACAGTGAAACAGCCAGCCCAAATACAGGTATTTAATTAGTATATTCATGACATATTGAATTAAATCAGCACCTCTTATCCCAGCAGTGATGAATAATGTCAATGTCTTAGTCAATGTAAAAGCATTTTTCTACTGATCTGCAGAACAGCCTTTCATCACCACACTGCAAACCTGCTACAGCATCCTCACAGCATGCATTCCTCTCTTCATCCTCCTAGCACAGCAACAGCAAGTATACACACCACAGCCTATTTTTACGTGTCTCTACTGCCCAGAAAACCCTACTGCTCCCGAACGACTGTCTTCATTAGAAGCGGCTAGCGAGACTGCAAAAAAAAAAAAAAAAAAAAAAAAATGTGAATGAGATTCTGTGCGTGTGAATGAAAGGGCTGGCTAGCATCCCCACATTTCTGTGAATGAAGCGAGGCCTCGCAGCCTCTGCCAGGCAATCCCTTGGGTGCTCAACCAGCCCAGCCAATACCAGCCGGCGCTGATGACTCATTCAGCAAAGCCTTGCTAAATAGTGGAAGATCCCATTTCGAGCGCAGGCGGCACCCTGTTTTGCAGCAACGCCAGAAAATGAAGCCGGCGTCTGAGCAGGAGGGAGTGGGTCGCCAAGCCCCCCGTGGAAGAAGGGGTGTTCGCCAGAGAGATGCCCGGGGTGTCCGCAGGGGTGGCAGGTGAGGAAAAACCGCGGAGCCAGGTCCGTGTTTCTCCCCGACTGTGTTCATTCAGCCAATTCATTTACATCCAGGACAGGAACATGAATGTGCACATTTCGTTTGATGTTTGATTGCTCTCTCTCTCCGTGCGCCCGCAGATTCACTGATTTTACAGGTTTGCCTTCAGAGACCTCTGAGGCGAAATGGCCACAAACAAACAAACGAAAACAGCAACAAAAAAAAAAACCAAAACAAAACCTCACACCGAGCAAACAAACAAACAAACAAACAAACAAAACAACCACCATAAAAAACCTAGCCACAAAACAAAGCCAAAAGCTTGCTTGAGAAGAAATCGCATGTACTTTTTTACCCCTTTTTTTTTTACCCTGTGAGCACAGTAGATATTTGAAGATGGTATGATCGTCAGTCCACCGAAGGCGGGGGGACGGGGGGAGGGCAGAGGGAAAGCTAGAAGACAAAAGCTTCCCAGAGCACCAGCAAGAGGTCTCTTTTCTGACACTGTTTCACCGGACACAGAAATGCTACCAAGACATCTGCTGCATGTAGAGCTCTCCTGGAAAACTGATATTAAACACTGCAGAGGACTAGAATCCACTGCATCACCCAGTGCTTGAAATCCAGTGCTTATTTCAGTCTCTGATGGGGAAACTGTGTCCTTTACAAATCCAGCCCTAAACTGGCAGAACTGAACATTTTAAAACCCTGCCTTTTATAGTTCCTGGGCTTAGAAACAGTGCATAATTTTGCCCTACAGGCAGCAGGTTCAAATCCAATTCCGGGAAATAATGAATGAAATAAGGAGACCGTGTAATAGGCATGAACTCCAATTAAAATTAGGATCTAGCTCACTCTAGCTATTGCCAAAGAATTTATAATGTCTTTGGCATTTCCAACGCTATGCCTGTAGCTTGCACACTGACTGTACCATGCCTGCCTTAAACAAGCTTGTTTCTGCTAATATCATAGACAGCAAGACATTCAAAGCACCATTTCTTCCTTATCTCTATTTGCAACCCATGTTAAATCAGCTCGTAAAGTGGATCCAGTTGAAAATGAGCCTTTTTCTTTCCTTTTTTGCAGGGCTATGAAACACCACTATTAATGAATGGCCGTGGAACAATGACTTCATTGTTGACCCAGTGATAAAATGGCAGGTGGAAATTTTATGTTAATAGATGCAACGTAATATATAATCCTAGAAATACATACACAGTGAGGTGGTGTACACTGCCTCTGACAAAGTACAGTATTTCCTGTGAACTAGTGGTAATTCCGGCATCTTGGACTTCTTAATCAACTCCTGTTGGTTTTCTTTCTCATTTCTGTTTTCTCAGGGACACTCCTCTCATCCTGGTGCAGTCCTTGTTTCATGTCACTGTTCCTTGTTCCTTCTTTTCCCCCAGGCAGCTCTCACAGCCATATCCACAGCTAACACCTTTTTTCCTTCTGTATCTTCACTGCAGCCTGTATTTCAGAAGCAAGTAATTTGTATTAACAGCAAAGGGCAGGGAAAAAACAGATGCTGGGGACAAATTTAGAGGGAGAAGCTACATTTCGTTGAGAATTAAAAGGCTTTAAATTGCTGCAGTTGCAAACATAGGAGACATTGTCGATCCACAAGCTAAACCAGGTAAGATGATGTGATCACCATAAAGAGGAAACACAGGGAGTGCAACCACTGTGTTCCCCTAACTCCAGTAAGAAACTCTCCTGAATGCAAAAAAGGTGACTTTCAGTGACCTGTATTTAGAGAAATATTAATCACATACTCAGATTTGGCAAAAATACCTAGTTCCACGAACACACGGTGGTCAAACCTGTACTCTCTTTGAATAAGTGCTGGAAACTGTTGAAGTTCTGCTGAAAAACTATTTGCATTTCCAGGGTTTCTGCCCGGTGGCAGAAAAAATTGCTTGTGGAGGACTAAACTGGATTTAAGAAAAATGAGAAAGACAGTGTCTGTGGGGAGAAAAACAAACCAATCCAAAGTGAATTTGGGTTAGCTAAGTTTAAAGAAACAATGAATCTGTCCAGAAACATAAATACAGGTGTTGCTAAGAGTTTTAATACTACACAAAAAGTAGCCATAATACCATCATAGTTGACATCCCTCTTTGCAGCAAGCCCTAAACAATTACTGTTACTATGATGTAACATTAAGCCATCAGCAAACAGGATGCTATTCCTCACATCGTAGCACGATGGACACGAGTGTTTGTGCTTGGGCTTTAGTAAATGTTCTTGCAGAATCTTTAATACTAACAAAGGTCAATTCCTACAAAAAAAAAATTTAAAAAAAAAGACAGTGTTTCAATAGGATAAAGATTTCTAATGTCCTGTGGGGACATTCTTCTCTTGATTGGTTTATTGAGATGGAAAAATACCATCTTTCTTTACACGATGTGAGCCAGACATATACCAGAAATCTCTTACCCATGTATTTATCAATCAGTCTAACCCAGCTTTCTTTATATGAGACAACCTTTGATGATGTAAGTAACAGTGGAGCAAGATGACATCAACACAAGCTGGAAAGAAATATGATACAACCTTCTAAAGAAAAAGTATTGCTAAACAATTTGATCTGTTCTGTTTGTACATACTTAATATATCATATTCTGTATTCCTCTGTTTCCCTGATTTACCTGCACACAGAGCTCAGTGAGATCCTACTGTGATTTTAAGGGAGGCTTATCTTGGAGCTGACAGAAATAATGAAAGGCACTGAACTTCCCACCAGCGCCATGACTATCTACTGTTACCTCAAAATATTTTGCAGGAACAAAAGCACAGAGTGGGCTCACATCATTTTTTTTTCCATACTGGGTGTTTGAGTCAGACCTCAGCTTACTGTCCCAGGCAAGAAAACCAAACAACCACCAACAAAAAGCCTCAAAGGTCTGTAAGCAAAGGCTAGCAGAAAACAAACAAAAAAACACAAAGGGGGAAAAATCAAACAAGCTGGGGGAAAAAAAAAACCCCTATTTTAATATATTCCAGTTGATTTATTTCGATTAAAAAAATGTGCTGTAAATTGCCCCCATCTCCATTCTCTTTCACGGGCTCAGAGTTTTGCTGTTTCCGTGGCAACATTACTGCTAAGAGTGGGCTGCGCCAGGAAACGGGAGCG